CAGGGCACCTGGTCCAGGCCTTTCCCTCCCTGTGAAACCCTCGGAGCAAACCCCACGTGAGGCTCGTGGGTGAGCTCCAGCTCAACGTGGCCCATCAGGTTGCGGCCCCTGCCAGGCGTGGGCTGGCCAGCAGTGGCCCTCAAGGGGCACCTCTCCCTGGTGGGTGGGAGAGGGCCTCCCTCCATGCAAACCCAGGGGCCCAGCAGCTCCTCCCACCCACCCCCTGCCGCACCTGGCCACCCTGCCTGGGCCGGGTGCACCCACTGGAGTGCCCCACGAGGTGGGCCTCCCACCAGGCACCAGCAACTCGCAGCACAGAACCGCTGGGCCCTCTCCAGCAGGGCAGCTGCTCAGTTTGGTCAGGCCGGGGCCCTCTCCCTGGGCTCGCTGAGCCCTGCGGGGCCTGCTCTGTCTGTCTGTCAGTCCTGCATTGCCCACGGCTATCTGAGCTCACCAGCCCCGGCTCCTGCACCAGAGAGTCACACTCTCCCCATCAGGAAGGCCCCTGTTGGGGTGACGGGCGGTCTCTAGCTCCCACCTGGACTCGACTGGTCCTGGACTGGCACTGGGTCCTTGGAAGTCTGGTCCTGCCGTGCTGCCTGAGCCGTGGCCTGATCCGAAGCCCAGGCGCAGGCAGCTGGAGTCGCTGACATCGGCGGTGACACACCAACCACTCAGCTGTGAAGGCCAGGGCACGTCCCGGGAAGGTCCCAGCGACATTCTGGTACACGTGGCAGAAAGTGCTCTTGTGCGTGCGGAGGAGCAGGAGCCAGGAGGCCCCCACTGCTCCCTGAGGGACAGGCAATAAGGGACCTGCAGACGTGAAGAGCCCTCGCGCGTCTTTGCCCCGCTCAGGGCCGGAGCCTGCCAGGGGCCTGTGAGGTTCAGGGCCCTCACCTCCCGCGAGTCACAGTCCCCACCCGAGTCTTCTGAGACCTGCGTCTCTAGTCCACACAATTTTACTGCTTATGGTAGAAATCTCTGCCACAAAAACACACTGGCTTAAAATATTTATTGATTAAAAAAAATTTAAAATTTTTATACAAAGATGATGAGAAAAATCTCATGCAAACTCTGGGCATACAATAAAAATAACTCAAATATTAATATGATGATTTTGTACAAAATAATTCTCTGTCGTAGGACCTCTGACGGACGGCCAGCGTGGCTCCTTGCCTCTGGCCTGGACCCCCTCAGGGAAGAATGGGCAGTCGCCTGTGGCCACCGCAGGCGGTGCGGGGCCCACGTGTGGAATGTTCTCTTGTCACTATGATGAGCGATGAGACCCTATTCTACTACTCAGAAATGAGACAGAGACCACGGTGCGCTGGAGCGAGGGGACTTCCTGCCACAGAGACCCCCCACAGGGCGGAGCAACTTGCCAAGGTGCCCGGAAGTCCCAGGTAATCTTTTCCATGAAGAAAACACCCCAAGATTATTATAGATGGTTTCTCCTTGTTACAAACCTGCAGTGGGCTTATAAGCTGTGTCTATTACAAGTAAATTTGCATAATTAAAACAATGAAGGAATCAACAGCATCATGGCAATTAGAAATGCGTCAAACTCGGAATGTGGTACAAAAGAGAGCTTCAATATGAAACAGTAATCCTCTGAGAAGGAGCCCCAGGCCTCGGTCCCCAGCCACGCGGAGGCCCCCGCCGGCCGTGCTCCATGCCTGGCCCCTCACCACGCTCTCAGCTGCCCGCGGTCTTACGGAATTTTCCACAGACTCATCTCATTTTCCGTAGCCTTAGTCTGTTTTCTTTGTCCCGTTTCTTAAGGATCAGTATAAATTGGTTGAAGAAATGCTCCTGATCCTTTCTTTTCTGAACAAGTCGAAACCTCTGATCCCGACCATACTTCTCAGCAAACTCCTTAAATGTGGTCCTGAAAAAAGAAAGAGTTCTCTTTTTATTTTTTTGGAACGGGGATTCAATCCAGGGTGGCTTCACCACTGAGACACATGCCCAGCTCATTTTTTAAGTTATCTTTTGAGACAAGGTCTCCCCAAGTCCTTAGGACCTCGCTAACTAAGTCGCTGAGGCTGGACTCAAACTTCCCATCCTCCTGCCTCAGCCTCCTGAAGCAGCACAGAAGGAACTGGCTACCTGAGGGGTTTCAGGGAGCAGGTTTATTGGCTGCAGACAGTCCACAGTGCTACTGGACACTCTAAAACATTCTCTGGACCATGAGTCTAGAAATTGTTTAAACTTTAGACCCAGCATGGAGGGGTGGGGGCTTGGAGTTTCCATACAGGAGGAGTCTATATAAAAGTAACCTTTTTCTTTCTTTGAGTTCTCAGAAAGTGCTTTTTAGACCAGACGTTTTGTAAGTCTTTACCAAGAAAAAAAGAGAGATAGTATCTTTTGTACAACAGGCTTAGGGACCCTAACCCTGTCACACCTTTTGTGCACAAACATGGCATTTACCAGAAAGAGGAACTTCCGGCCTCAGTGACCCCTGCAGACATCCTGCTGATCTGAGAAGAGGACAAGCTACGTCATGGCAGAGCCTTTTGGGTGGGGGTTTCTGGTCTGCTTCTCTCCAAGACTCTGGGATTATAGGCAAGCACCACTGTGCTCCGCAAGAGAGAGCTCTGAGAAGTCTTCCCTGAGAGCAAACCTTGGCTCCCTGACCATGACCAGGACAGGCAGCCTGCCTTGAGACAGAGAAAGCCCCAAGGGACAGGGTGCTGCAAACCAGCAGGCTGGCAGGGAAGCACTGGCCTCCTGCACCTGCTGCCCACGCTGGGCGTCATCCCTGCAGACATGGCTCCAGGCCTGTCCCGACACCCCCATCACTCTGCACCCCTAGAGTCTTCTCCCCGCTGCTCCTGCCAGGCTCCTACCTGCCGCTGGACTTGGCATATGCTGTTCCTTCTGCACACCCTTCCCTCTTTTCTTCTGCCCACACCTCATTAGAATCCAGGGCCAGCATGCCTTCTGGGGACACGCCCTCTCTAGAGGCCCCAGTAGCTGGGACCCATTCCCCCTGGCCCTGGTCACAGCTGAGATCTTGTTCCACCTTAATGGGCGGTGGGTTGGACCTTGTCCACTGCAGTGGAGCTCTGTGACCCCCCACTGGACACGCTGAG